AGAGAGATGATAGATAGATAGATAGACAGACAGACAGACAGACAGACAGACAGACAGACAGACAGACAGACAGACAGACAGACAGACAGACAGACGGATATGTACACACACACACAAACATATTATATACATGTCTATACTGTATGTAATCTTAAGTCGATGCTTTGTGGGATATGATTGGGCAGTTCCAGCCCAACTTCAGAACTATTTTGGCATTGTGGGAAATCAGAGGGTATCTACCAAATATTATTTATGGTGAGACACAGCCAACTCCGTGGGTATGGCAGATACTTGTATTCCTGTGGCAGACTGCTAAAGTAAGCTGTGTCTCAAATCCCACGGGAGAAGTTCCAGGTCAAGACTCCAGGTGGGAGAACCATCCCGTTTTCTTCCTCTTAATTTTTTAAAGAACTTTTGGCCTGTTTCTGCCTTATCTTGGTGTTATGACCTGGGCTTCAGTTCACAAGTCACCCTTCCCCCCCTCTCGGCATCGTGCTCGTCGGCCGAAACCCCTTTGCAAAGCGGTTGCGGCAAAATCATATCTCTGTGCTTGAAGGAGAGCAGCTGGTTTGGGGGCCGCGGGCCGGCTAGGCTTGCTCACCCTCCCTCCCAGAGCATCACCCGTAAGTCCCCATTTCTGCCCCCCCCTGCAGACCGTCTTCTTCCGATCGGCATCTAATTCCTGTGGCCTTCGTGTCTGAGAAATGGTTTGAAATTTCCTGCTGACCAGCCGGAGTCTGTTTTACTTCCTGGGGGCAGGGCAGACGCCGCAGGTCTATTTCCTGGTAGGTATTTTCTCTTCCGCCATTTTGTTTTTCCTGCTCCGTCTCAACTCGCACACCTCCGCCCACCCGGTTCCAATCGCACCCTTGCTGGGATCATAGCCGACGACTCAATGCTTTTAATTAAAGTGCCTCACAGGGTTGCGCAATAGCAAATATTGCCAACCTGGCTTCCCCGACCCAAAACATTTCGTTGTATGCTAATTCAGAGCAACCTTGTTTTCTCCCTCTCATCTCTTGTCGATGATCAAACTTATAGACACTTATCTCAGCAGGGCTGAAATTGGTTGCGTTTTGCAAATGGAGCAGGAAGAATTAGGACTGTTCATGTTTCAGATTGGTTTGCATGACACTAATCAGTCACATTCATTTTGGTTTGTGTTACCTGTTGTTATTGCCGCCATTTGCTTCATCTTAATTGACTGTAAGCCGGGATTAATGGGCACTGGGTGATCACAAGGCCTTCTGCGAAGAGAAGGAGGAGGGGAAAATCCCTTGAAAGAATTTTTTTTAATTCTCAAGCTGATCTTTTCCTCCCCTGTGGAAATTTAAGATGGGTAACAATCATGCACAATTATTGAAAACAACCGCACGTGTGTGCTGGTGAGATGGGAAGGAAGAGAGATTGTGGATCTAAGGAAGCAAGATAGCCTGTCCTTAAGGACATCTACCAAGGCTTCACGGCTACCAATATTCATTCCTAGGGAGGTCCGGAAAACGACCACCAGAAACAGGGCCTTCTCAGTGGTGGCTTCAGTGCTCTGGAACACATTGCTTGTTGGCGTCCCCAAAGGGCCCTCCTTTCGGACCTTCAGGAAATGGCTGAGAGCTGAGCTCTTGGAAGAGGCCTTCAGTAGCTTCTTCTCCCTTTGATACTCTCACAGACCCACAAGTTTCAATCTTGAGTTTGTTTACCATTGCCTTAGGTGTTATTTTGGCAGTTTTTATTATTTATGGGTTGATGTTGTGGGTTAGTTATTATTTTTAACCTCCTCGTTGTTGTGAACTGACCAGAGTTGTACTCTGTTCCTAGATGGGTTGCTTACAAATGCAATCAATCATCAATCAGTCAATCAATCAATGGGCAGAATCGTTTTGAGGAAATCTGGTATCTACCATCCCAAGGTCTTAGTGTCACCTGATTGCCAGCTTGCATTTGTGTGAGGCAGAAAGGGCCCCATTGAAATCAATGGGTTGCCGTGTGCATAGTGAGTATCCCCTGTGTGCAAAAACAGCCAGAAGTGCAGAGGTCTGTTGCACATACAGTGGAAACAAAGAGGACTCAGTCTAAAAAAAAACTTGGGTATGTTTAGCCTTGAGAAAAGTAGACTGAGGGGAAATATGATAGCACTTTTCAAATACTTGAAAGTGGCGAGGTAGGATCTGTTCTCAATCGTCTTAGAGTGCAGGACTCTTCCAAATGGGTTAGCATTATAGGAAGCCAGATTTAGGCTGGCTGTCAGGCAAAACTTCCAAATTGTTAGAGCAGTACAACAACAGAACCCACGGCCTCAGGTGATGGTGAGGGCTCCAACGCTTCAACAGAAAACTAGACCACCTTCTGTCAGATCTGCTTTGATTTGAATTCCTTTGATTTTGTTAGCCGCCTTGGGTCCTTTTGAGAAGAAAATCGGGGTAAAAATATTTTAAATATATAAAAAATTCCTTCACTGAGCAGGGGGTTGTACTTGATGGCCATGTAGACCCCTTCCAACTCAATTATTCTGTGTCTCTATGATTCTAATGATATAAACAAGTACCATTGATATCTGATATAGTTATGTCTTCTACACATGTTCCATCTGTCTTATATAGCTGGACTGAAGGATGATCCCAAAGGGTAGGGGGTGGGGGGATCCATTTTCTCCACCCCTGCAAGAATATTAGAAGCATTTTCCGAAAGATTCCATGAGACTTGATATTTACTCTCTCTTTTTGTTTGACTAGATACAGACCACTAGACAGGGCGATTAAGCATATTTCTAATGTTTGTAAGCATTTTAATATTTTAACCAGCAAATGGATACGGCAGAGCGATCCTCTGATAAAAGAGATTACCCGGGAGATATAATTTTCCAGCTCTCTGTAACCTTCTTTACAGATGCCAACTATTCATACTCTCCTTTCTGGCCAGTTTGAAAGTCTGACAGGCTGTAGGTTATCAGAATTATTTGGCATTTGTTCGGTGAACCAGTCCAATGCTGAACTTAAGCATACTAAAAAGGTTTAACTACTTTTTGTTGTTGTTGTTTGCCCTGCTAATTAGAAGACAAGAGGCAGAAACAAACGTCACCGTTAATCATCGTTATCCTTAAATTTTGCACTCCGGGTGATTTTCACATGTGCAAGGTCTGCCGGTGACTCTTAAGGAGATTCCACATTCTGCTGGTTCTCTCTAGCTAGGAAGAGTACGGGAGTGTGAGGGAAGGAAGACGAAGAGTACCAATCTACACAGAGTCCTAATCTACCTAGAGAAGGGAAAAACACTCAGATCTGTTGCCCACTCTGGTTCAGACCATTTGTGACATGCATTGATTGTTCTGTTTCAGTAGAGATCCTGTCCTTATCTCAACTATAGAACAGGCACAAAAGGGGTTCCTTTATGTGGACAAGGAAGGGTAAATGGCAGTGTTCTTATGTTATATTTGTCTAGGAAGAACCAATGGGATTACTACATTTTGCAAATGTGTTTCTCTGTATATGTGTGTGTGTGCACGCACATGCGTGTGTCAGCATGTGCACACAATTTTAACAACCAATTGTTTTGAAAAACCCCTGCTGTGATTCCTCAAAACTGGGGAGACGGGTACAAACGGACTTGAAAATATTACTCCCAACTCATGATTTTCGTCCTTTTTTGTGATGCTGTCGGAACCTCAGTGGTGGCCTTGATTGTCATCGTTGATTTTTCCCTTCCCCATTTCATGAAATGAATTTTGTGTTCCTCTTAATGGTCTCAAGATTTTAATATGAATGAACGAATGATCTTCTGGATTTAAACATGAGTGCTTTAACGGTAAAAACAGCATTCTGAGCTCCTCAGCCATGCCATCCCAAGCACGCAAGAAAGGAAGAGTAGGCTGATGATATTTATAACACAGAGGCCACTGTCTTCTTCCTCCCTGTGTTTCACTAAAAGCCTGCTTCGCGAGAAGCATCTCGAAAGTGCATCTGGAAGGCACAGAGGCTAAGACGTGGGCAGGTATCCAGGCGAAGGGCATTGGAAAGCTGAGTGGTGGAGAGAAACTCTCTGCACGTTCTTTCACATTTGAACTGGTGCACAGAAAGTGACTGACTGATGCTCAGAGAGGCATTTAGGATACAGGGTCAGTGAGAGGAAGGGTTCAGTAGGGGCACGAGGTTTGTCCATCATGGGCCGTCAGATCCACTCCACCTTACGTTGACCTTAGTAGGGTTTTTGAGATACTCAAGAGGTGGTTCAGAAAAAAAAATCAGGACAAGGCCGCACGATCTTCAAAACAACACACATTGTGGTACCTTGATTAAACCATTAAGAAAAGAAAGCAAAACACACACAGAGAAAGTGAGCTTTTGATGAT